AGCATTTATATAGAAAATTACTTTTTGTACATAGCAGCTCCATGTAGCTACTAATTTTTAAACTATCAATAAAGATATGAGCAAGACCTTACCTTAATACCAAAAAAAAAATAAAAATAAAATATATATCAATACGTGTATACCTTTATATATACCTATACCTTATTGTGATTCTATTAACATGCAAGACAAATATTAGAATAATAAAAGAAAAAAAAAAGTATATATTTTTTATATCTTTTGTATACTTATATCTTGTTTTGATACTGACACCTATTAGTTTACTATTATTATTCTTTTTATCTTATCTTTTTATATATAATAGAAGAATAATAAGAAACTAAAGGTATATTATTATATAACTGATATATTACCTGATATGCATATTAGCTAACTAATAGAACTATATAGATATATTCTATTATTTTACTATTATTTATGTATTCAACCTGTGATTAGTACAAATTATAATTTTTATATAAAATTAATTAAAACTAAATATAGAAAAAAATAAATTATGTGTTAAGTAAGATTCTATTTAAAGATATATTAGTAAATTTAGTATAAATTTAATTAAATATGAATTAAGAAATAATTTGATGTTATATGAAAAATATGTAAGAATAAGCAGACCAGAATAAGAACAAAAAATAAAAAAAAATTTTATAAAAGAATAAAAATTAAATTTGACTGTAGTTTAGTCAACATTAAGTTAAAAATCTTTGTTTAAAATTTGTTTTAATCAAAAAAATGTACTCTACATTTTTGCTTAAGAGTATAAAGTAGTTTGTAACAACAACTTTTGCATAATAATTAAAATTGTAAATTCTGAAACTCAAAGATTATTAGTACATTTTTCTTAATGAGTTTAAATTTTAAAAACTTAAAACTTTTAAAATAAATATAAAATTTAGTATTGAACAAGTTTATATAAGAGCTAAAAACAAGTTAATATAGTAAAATAAATAGTTATAAATGTTTTTGTACAGATGAATTTTTAATTAAAATTTGTATAAAAGATTTGCAAAAAGAGTTCACTTTTTCAATATATGTGCAAAATTAAAATTCAGTTTAAAAATATATGCAAAAAAGTTATATATATATAAAATAAAATTATAATATGCACAGAATGTCAATTATTTTCAACAAAATATATGTGTATATGTAACTATACATTTAACAATTAACCAATCAGAGTTGATGTACATTACGCTGTGATTGGCTAATGATGGGGCTTGGTCACATGATCTTAAATGGACATGCCAAATTTTTTACCTGTGTCCCGAACCCTATTGGGTAGCTTAACTTTATATGAAACGAGTAAATTTAACAGATGAATAAATATTTTCGCTTCGCCTTACAACATATTTTTTGAATCACGACCTTTTTTTACAATCTGATTGGCCGATTTACTAAAATTTCGAGATACAATTTGGTTGAGAATCATATGCAACTATATCGCTCCTGTTACGTGATTCCCAAGTGGAGGAAAACAAGTATGACGCGAACAATCAAACACAAAAAAAATTTTACCATAGCTATAGTTCTTTAAACCACTCTAACCCTAAACTAATATCGGAAGAATTTTTTAATAAGACACGTAATGGGTGAAATTTTCTAGGGTGGTGATACTAGGCTTATAGAGAAAAACCCTCTTTGGTCTATTTTAAGATTTCAATTCAAATTAAAGTATTGGTTCTTATTTATATGAAGTACACTTTTTGGTTTACATTAGCTTAAGATTTTTATTTAATCGGAGACAGCACTCTAAAAATAGTACATCGACCAATCAAAAGTTTGTCAATTTAGCTTGGCTAATTCAAGCATGTGACCTTGTTCGTACATCTAGGTGTAACACAAACATTTCCTCATGAATATCATGTGATAGTCCAGGCAGTTAGTAAACACCGATATTAATAGCATTGATGTGTCTCACCGTTATCCAATTAAAAAAAGAATGTTTTTTTTTCAATGAAAAATGTATAGTCATGATGAAATTTTTTACACTCCTTAATGTTGCATACATATGTACGTACATAATTGTTTTCGATGATCGTAAACCTCTGATATTTCTAGTAATACTGGCTATATTTTAACTACCCGTATTCTATCATGAATAAGTGTTGCACTTCATTCCTTGTTTTTTTTTTAAATAATAAAGTTTATAGAGATAACTTCTTAAAAGATTAAATTGTAATAAATTCTTTTGTTTAAAAAACCTGAAACATTTCAGTAATACATTAGAAAGACAGCTATTATTCATTATTTTATTCATGAACTAAATTTCTTTTTCTTAGCGTTGAAGCCTATATTAAGAATGTATATCAATTGCCATACGCAATGAATTTCTGTAACACACTATGCGTATTTTAGGAAAAGTTTACTCTTTAATTATTTAATATGTACTTTTATAACATCTATGTGCATCACTGTTTACTTAAATAATGTTGCGAATAACAAGTGGGATTGCGGAGAGAACAATCCGAAATAATGATCGATATACTCTTATATCCGAACTAATTCGGTATATAAAAAATCAATTGCGTCGGATTTCGAGAACAAATGTAAATGTATCCTTTTCTAGGGTTTGTACTATAAAAGAATAAGTTTGTAGAAAGTCTAGAAATACTGTCTTACATTGATAAGCAAACATTAAATTTCCATAAAGAGATAACTTTATATTTATGTATTAAACCGTTGGTTGATTGAAGTACGCATAAAACGTATGACATTATGAATTCCCAGCCTTATTATTTTCGCGGAGCAAAAGGGGAAATGACTCCGTAACAAGAATGCATTAAATAGCCCAAAGTTTCCCTGTCTGCTGAATGTGTTGTCAAAAGAGGTCTTAAGTCTTTAAATAAATTATCATATCCATTCTCTAAATTTATATCGTTGCTGCGTTATTCAATAAAAACAACATGCAAAACCAATGTGCTAGCCGAGATACTACTTCTTTAGGGAAGTTTAGGAAATTCTTCAAGCGATTATATCGAAAACAACCAAAGTCTACTTGTCAAGCATCAGGATGTAGCAATCCTTGCTCCAAAAATGACAAGTTTTGTGGTGTTAATTGCAAATCCAACCTTTTACCAACTTTACCAAACACTGAAACTTCTACAATAAAATTACCAACTCCAGTAATAACTATATCGGCGGCACAGACTGATTCCCCAGCTACATCATCTGTCTTTACTCGTATTTTAAAACATAAAAAATCAACAGAAAGTGAATTGCCAGATGACGATGATAATCTTTCATCTAATAGCAAAGATAACTCAAGAAAATCTACAAAATGGACATTCCTTGCTCCCAAAACGGCAACAAATTCACAAAGCTCTATTTCTAGTAGAGCATCCAGTGATCTTAATGATTCAGCGTATGAATCAGGTTTAGAAACAGATTCTCCAAAAAAATCCAAAAAGAAGGAAAAAAATTCAAATATCGAAAAGACAATAATCACAGAATTGAAAGCCGGAAACGAGGATTACGAAAATGTCAAAAAAATGTTTCAAGTTGGACTTCCTAAAAACAATGTTCTTGGAATATTTCAGTTACAAATGCCTATTAAACTTTTAAATGATCATGAAGCATATAAAAAAAAAATTGCTAATAACACAAACCGCTCAAAAGATGGAATAACGCATAAAATGTTTCATGGTACAAAACATGCTGATAATTGTGATCCTCAACGTTTTATCAATAATCGGAAGGCTAAATTCTGCAAATCAGGTTGCGGATTTTGTGGGATTGCACAAGAAGGAAATCAATCCAAATTTTCTAATTATAATGGCAGTAAGTATTCTCATCTACTTTGTTCATTTGCTATTGCCCTGATGCTGATCGTTTTTTTTTTTTTGATAGAAATGTGGTTTGCCAACAATTCTATTACTTCATTGGGTTATTGTGGAACTCCTAATGTAAAGACTATGTTCGTCGTTGATGTAATTGCTGAAAAATATCAGGGAATACTAATAGTTAGTAATAACGCGGTAAGTATCATCAATTTTCTTAAATGGGCATCGATCTTATGCTTAAATAAATTCTAATCATAATACTTAAATTAGGCAACGATACCAAGATACCTTGTCATATTTAAGTGAAATGAAAGAGATAAATTGTTTTGCATGTGCTGTGCGCAGCAACGATATTTTATTTTTCCCTTGATATATGGGATCTTTTCTAGGAAAATTATGTTGTAATTATATGACTTACATTTTTATATTAGTGGCATTTTCTTAGAAAAGGTCCTATATATTAATATCATATTCTTAACGTTTATTTAAATCGGAGATTATTCTGTGATATTATTTAAAGACATCATGATTGACATTATTCAATGACTTTAAGGCATTACACATAGATATTATTCAAAGACATTATTCAATTTGGAAGACAATTAATGAATTTTGTCATTCTAAATCAGCTTTTAATTCATATAACATAATAATAAATGTATGCTTAGAGTTCTAATTAGAATTCTAACGCTGTTAAACAATAACTGGAAAGTTTTCAAAATAACACACGTGTTTGTTATTTTCCGAGTTTATGGTACAATTTAAAAACAAGCGATTGAGATTCCAAAAAGTTGAATACTAAAGTAATATATAAGATAGATTAATGCCTTCTGGCTTTTTTCTTCGAAATGTATATATCTATTTCAATGTTGATTAGAGTTCATATTTTAGATACGTGTAATGCGAGTTCGAACTTATCAAGGATTTGATAATTGGTAAGGCTCAATATCCAGTTAATTGAATTTCAAAAGGTTTCATATAGTTGGAGCAAGGATAAATAGGATAATTAGCTCTAACACTAAACTGAAATTTTGATTTATTGCTTGGATTCTCTATATATAAAGACAGATACTCATGATTTTAAGTTCAATTTGATGTTACTCCCCCCATCTAGTTATAGCGACAAGTTAACAGAATAAGCAAGTTGTTTTAAATTTTATATTTGCATAAAAATTAGTACTTCATTTACATGATTTCGAGTATTAAATGATCTGGCTATGTATATCTTGATACAGTACTATGCAATAAGAGTTTTGGACCTTAGACTATCGCAACAGAAGATAGTTTTTTTTTAATGAATTCCTTGCAAAGCGTCTAATTCATTTAAAGCAGTTTGCAAAATTACGTGAAATTTGCTTATTTTTTGACTTTTAAATTGCACATTCGTCTTTTTGCAATATATTTGATTGAACATTTTTAGCAGAAATAAAAGTTGTAGATTCATTATTTTGTAACATATTTGATTTAGTATCTTCAGTAGAAATATAATTTACGCATTCATCATTTTGTAAAGAATTTGATTGAGTCTTATAATTATTGCATGATGAGTAAAATGTTATAAAATTCGACCTCATAAGAATTATTAGATGATTCTAGAAAATTAATTTGTTTATTACTGAAAGAACCATGAAATTTCATAAGGAATTTTAGCACGATGTTTTTTTGTTGGAAATATTTTTTTTCAGTTACAATAAGTTAAAGTTTCACAAAAAAAACCCCCCGCTTTGTGCATCCAAAACATGTTTCGGGATAATTTGATCATTAAAAAAGATTTTTTTTTAACGAAATGTATATATACTATATAAGTATATATTATATAGATATATAAGTCTTTATATAGTATAATATTAGTTGATATACATACGTCATCGGAAATAATGTTAATCTGTATCACTGGTAGTCGACAGAGGTGCTGCTTATCGATTGACATTTCTATCAAAAATTTCCTGATGACATGAACCTAGGACTATTCGTATGGAAAGTGATGCACAAATCGGTGAAGTTTAGTTACGATCAATGATATTTTCAGCATTCCAAAATATATCGGCAATTGATAAATTATTTTTGGTGTGATCTACATATATTCATTTACCAATGAAATTTCACAATCAACAAATAAATAAAAAGTATACTATAAACTGGATTAGAACTAGAGATGGGACACTGCGCAGGCATTTTTTGAGACTGCGCAGTGGAATTTTCATAATTCAGGCCAGCTGGCATAATTCTGGTCAGCATTATAATTCAGGCTTGAATTACCAATCGGAAATCG